AATTGCAACTTATTTCTAACTAAGTTGCTTCCAATCTCTAGGATCTCAAAACGTTAAAAAAATCATTTTCTTATTGGATTTTCTGGACAATAACCAATTTCATCAAATGCATACAATGTTATCTGGAATTTTAGATATATAGCAACATGAATGGAAAAGTAAAGGAAATGAATACAGAAAATACTAATAGTTACACTTATGGATTATTTTTTTATTAAAGGTTGGAAGAGGTTCTTAGAAGTCAGGGACAGTAGCAAATCTCTTCCACTATCACTACACAGAACTGCCAAGGACTATTGCTATGCAAAATCTTTTCACTGTGTGAAAAAGTAAAATACTATTTGATATGACCTTTTCTCTTGTTCCATAAACCTTTTCATTCAACCAAACCCATAGAAGCACTTTTTGGATTGAAACATGCCAAGGAATTATTCTTGTTATGCACTTTCAAGTCGTTTCTAACCTACGACAAGCCTATCATAAAGTGGGGGCTGCAGTGGCACAATGGGTTAAACAATTGAACTGCTGAATCTACTGACCTAAAGGTAGGTAGTTCAGAGCTGCGGGTCGGGGTGCACTCCTGCTGTTAGTCTAGTTCCTGCCAACCACAGCAGTTCAAAAACATGCAAATGTGAGTAGATCAATAGGTACCACTTCAGCGGGATGGTAATAAAGGGCGCCCATGCAGCCATGCTGGCAACACGACCAGGAGGTGTCTACGGACAACAGGCTCCTCGGTTTGGAAATGGAGAAAGAGCACCTTCCCATGGCTAGAGTTGAGCACCGCCTCCAGAAGCCAGAGGTGAAAGGGGAAGCCTTTACCTTTGTTCTTTGTATTTGTGTGTCATTGTTATTTTACTGTATTAATGCACTGAATGTTTGCCTATCTGTATAAGTTGTAATCCACTCTGAATCTCCTCAGAGAGAGAGAGCAGAATATAAATAAAGTGTATTATTATTATTATTATTATTATTATTATTATTATTATTATTATATCTTCATCATCATCGTCATCATCATCATCATCACAAAGTTTTCTGAGGCTAAGAGTGCATGACTTGCCCAAGGTCACCCAATTTGAACCCTGTTCTCCAGAGTCATAGTTCAATGCCCAAACCACTACGCCATGCTGAATTACTACTATTTAAAAGTAACGTTTATTTTTTAATAAACCTTTTTTGCTGGATAACTATATAAAACTGTACAGCACCCGCTTACAGAATGAGACTGTTAAAATGCCTTTGCTTCTCAAAAGATAAGATACTAAGATAAGATTAGAAAAAAGATGCAATTTGTCACGAGAGGAAAAAGGGAGCTGTAATATTGCCAATCATTATTAAGAGACTGCCACTGGCTGCATAGAGATGAATAAATGAAGAGCAGCAGCCCAATAATTTTAAAATTCATATTGAAACCACAGGTTTTAATTGACTACAGCAATATACATTTTCAAGAACACTGTAAAAATCTATAAAAGCAAACATAGCAAAATAACTAGGGATTATTTATTTGGTTAAAAGTGAGAAGCACATTATGTAAACGACTGCCTCCAACAACATTATTTTCGTAAGTCATATGCCAGGTGCTTACCATCATATCTGCTTTGGGCCAGAATTGTTACAATATCACCTTTAGGAATTTCCAACAGGTATAGAACAGCATCCTCTCGAACAATGCCTCTGAAATCTTGAGTGTTTACCTAGTACAAAATAAGAGATGTTAAAAGATAATTCAGACTGTCAAAGGGGAATCCCATGCTTTGTTTTAACAAAGGTGTTATGCGAGTTAATGGCTTAAGCTAATAAGCTGATTAATCGATCCAACTGATCAATCCTTTATTTGCATCAGCCACAAGCCGTTGGGATAGAAACATAGTATTCTACTAAAGAAAAATGTCAACATTTTATAATCATTATAGTTAAATGATGTCTATATAACATACAATGTAAACCATTCTAAACTAAATAGTATACATTAATAATAATAATAATAATAATAATAATAATAATAATAATAATAATAATCTTTTATTTGTATTTCTATCTCCCCGAGGGGACTCAAGGCAGTTTCCACCATGGGTAAAGCGTTGCAATTACAGACACAAAAAACATACAAAATAATCATTATAAAACATAGATATTATACTATATAACAGTCGTACGTATTTAAAATTAAAAGCCAGTACAAGAGGGCTGGGCTAGTATAATGAAGTAGACTAAGACACGGGGAGTGGGTAAAGGGCAAGCATGGCCCTGCCTGATGGTCAGGGTGGGACCTGGAGCTATTTGTTTCCAAGGCCTACTGCACAGCTATTGGCTGGGCCAATGGGGACACATAGGGTTGAGGAAATGGATAAAGTGCAAAACAGTGCCCTAACTCACAACCTCTGAGGATGCCTGCCATAGATGCAGGCAAAATGTCAGGAGAGAATGGTTCTAAGAACATGGCCATACAGCCTGAAAAACCTACAACAACCCAGGGCCCTAACTCATGGCCAAGGTAGTGCCTGGGGCTATTTATTTCCAGGGTCTGCTAAATAGCTATAATAGTGCTGGACCAGGGCTAGTACAATGAGGTAGCAAAGGGCAGGGGAAATGTATCAGCTAAGTAGCTTTTGCAAACAAACTTCACACCTTTCAGTGCATTATGTATGTGTTACTTTGTTGGAATCAAGAAATGGTCAAGCTCTGCCTCCCAATACAAATCATTTTCCTGGAAGAAACTCATGACCAATTTCAATCACCATCCTTTCCCTAAAAATAAAGTTTTCTATCTTAGCCTGGATGAGACAATGTGTTGTTCCACAACAGCTTGTGTGTTATCCAGGCTCAACCATACTGCTTTAAATGAGGCTGAAGGCCTCAAGTTCAGATTGAGGGTGCAGGAGGGCTTAGAGGGGGTTCAGATAGTCAACAGGCTAAAATTATACTCTGGATCCTTGGAGATGGGGATGGGAAAAGGCATATTAGGTAAACGGTACATAAAATAAATCATTTACTGGAACAAAGAGGAGATGACAGGGACTGAAAAGAAAGCGAGGCCAGAAAGGAAATTATCTCTCCAAAATTATTTTAAAATTTATTTCAGAGTCACATAAGTCTGTCAAGAGCCACAGAGCTAGTACTAACTAAAATCAAAAGACAGAGGAGCAATAGGAGCTGGAAAACAGTATTTTGAAACTAGAAACTGCTTTTGGGATAATAATTTGCTTGGAACTTCCTGGTGTCATTCTAAATCCAATGCAGTTTTGATTGTTAAGAACAAGGGGGAGGCAAAGTCTCTTTGTGTTCTCTTAGGAATTCTAGAGCACTTTGCTAAGAAAAACTCTTACACCCCTCCCTGTTTTGCAAGAGTTTTTCTCTTTTCACATTTGTAACTCACGTATGTCTCCAGGGGCGCATATGCCCTACTTTATTGGCAGTTACTAAAGCTGTTCTTTGTCCCACTGAATCCAACAGGATTAAGAACGGGTTTTAAAAGGGTGCCAGATTTCCTAACTTGAGCGTAATACTTTTTCCTACTTTTAAGATTTCAAAAACACTGATGTTAGATATAAAAGTGGATAGCTAGAACATGCAACTAGGTCATTCATTCTTCTACCTTTTGTGATCCCAGCTGGATTGTAGAGATACTGTCAAAGACTATCATGATCTCAAGTTGTTTCAGCCATAGATTTTAATGAAGACCCATATGTAAATACATTGTTTTCAGCTGATATTGGACCATTAAAAAGTAATGTTTCATTACATATTATTTTATAAGAGCCCCTGATGGCACAATGGGTTAAACCCTTGTGCCGGCAGAACCTCTGAGGAACGGTGGGCGGTTCGAATCCAGGGAGCGGGGTGATCTGTCAGCTCTAGCTTCTCATGCAGGGACATAAGAGAAGCTTCCCACAGGATGGTAAAACATCCAGGCATCCCCTGGGTAAGGTCCTTGCAGACAACCAAATCTCTCACACCAGAAGCGACTTGCAGTTTCTCAAGTTGCTCCTGACACGGATTAAAAAAAAATCTGTTATTGTGACTTATTTTGTAATTTTTAGTTACCTTCTCAACAGTTCAAAGGAGAATAAATAATAGTGAAATGATAAATGGAACGGCCTTGGATCATGATTTTGGATGGCTTGACTTTAGTTATTGATTTTAATTGATTTGTTTTAATGTTTTTGGTTTTAATGTAACTGTTATTGTATGAATGTTTATGCCATTGAATTGCTGCCTATTTGTAAGGCCACTCTGAGTCCCCTTTGGGAGGAGAAGGGCGGGATATAAATACAGTAAGTAAATAAATAAATATCAAAATGGCCCAAAATACCCCCCCCCCAAATATTAAAATGGTCAAACTTTTTAAAAAATTAAGGCTATTAGTTAACATTCATTTTCTATTATAAAAAAAAGTTGTGTCTTTGTTGTTCCCAAAGCTAAAATATTACTTGTGGTGTACAGTCAGCTCTCTATAACCACAGATTCAAGGATTAAACCATTCATGGCTTGAAAATATTTTTTAAAAATCCCAAAAGCAAACATTGATTTTGCCATTTTATACAAAGGATACCATTTTACTATTATTATAATGGAACATTCATATAATGGAACATGAAAATCCAACAATTTGGATATCTATGCGAAGCCCTAGAATCAAACCTTAGCAGATATCAAGGGGCCACTGTATTACATTCATGCTTTGGTTATAAATTCTGAAATAAAGTAATCCCTCCAACTTTATAAAAAACCAAAAAACAAAACCCTAATTGTTGGATGTTGCATTCCTACCTTAAGAATCTGATCCCCCTCTTGGAGACCCTCTTGTTCTGCTGAGGTGCCTTCTTGAATTCCAGCAACAAATATCCCTACGTCATTCCCACCAGCCAGCCGGATACCCACACTGTCGCCCTTCTTGAACTTCACCATCTTTGTACCAGGGCTTAGGAGAGAAAAATATTCCAGATTTTAGAAATAGTTATGCCATTGGGTAGTGGACATCTTTAATGTGTCTGAATCATGACAGAAAGTGCTGTCTTCAGAATGATAATTCTTCTATGGCCATCATCATTATAGTGACTTATCCAGTCTTAAGTTCAACACATCCCTGTGTATGTCTTATTTTGGTCATTGTGGAGGTTAGCACCTCACTTTATTTATTTATTTATGACATTTCTACCCCGCCTTTCTCACCCCGGAGGAGACTCACTTGGTGCAAAAAAGACTATAAAGTCAGTATGCCTCTCTAGGGAAGATATTCCATTGTGTGAATCCATCCCTTGGAATGACTCGTTCAGCCTCTTCTAATGTACTACCCTCCGGATGTATTAAACTATAACTCTTACAAACCATCAATATCCAAGAAGCAGGAGAGGTCTGCACATATAATCTGACATGACTGGAAGCATCAGACAGGAACTGGGAAGCTAAACAGGGTCAGCCTGGTTAATACCTGGATGGGGAACCACCAACCAATACTAAATGCTATAGAGTAAGTTTCAGAGGACAGGACTGGGAGAACCATCTCAGAATATTCCTTGACTAAGAAAATCCTATGAAACTAATGGGATCACCATCTACTGCTAGCTGACGTGAAGGCACTTACACACAAACATCTATATGTGGCAAAATGTAATTCTTCAAATCATCCAGCTATAAACCATTAAAACAAGAATGGCCAATTGTGAGCATCTAAGGGGCTGCACTATCCCACCAAGAAACCATGGGAGGACTGCACTCACCATTATACCCCAACACAGAAGACAGCCTCTCCCATGCCCAGGCCATTTAGGCTCGGAAGAGGGATATTTTACAACAGGAAATGAACAGAAATCTTTTCCCGTTTGAAAAAAAGGTGGTCCTCAGCCCAAACTGGCCCAGACCCTCCAAAATTCAATAAAATGCCCCCCAACCTACTAGTGAGCATGCAGCTCATAAGGCACACTTTAACCACCTGACATTAAAAACTCTAGGAGCCCCTGGTGGTGCAATGGGTTAATCCCTTATGCTGGCAGGACTGAAAACTGACAGGTTGGAGGTTTGAATCTGGGGACAACATGGATGAGCTCCCTATGGCAGCTCTAGCTTCCCATGTGGGGACATGAGAGAAGCCTCCCACAAGGATGGTAAGACATTAAAACATCAGGGCATCCCCTGGGCAACGTCCTTGCAGACGGCCAAGTCTCTCACACCAGAACAACTTGCAGTTTCTCAAGCTGCTTCTGACATGAAGATTTTTTTAAAAAAACTTTAAAGTTCTAATAACAAACGGGCTCAGAAACGGACTGGAGAGCCATAAGTATGAATGAAAAACTGGGTTAATATGATCGCAATGCTCAACCCCAGTTATACACCTTACTGCTCTCTTTTGAACTAAATGATTGTTCCAGACCAGCAGTTCTTAACCTGTGATTCATAGAACCCCAGGAATAGGGGTGCATTGTCCTCACAGTGGATTCATGAAAGCTTGAAGAAATTTCATGAACATTTACTCTTAAGATAGGAAGGATGGATGGATGAATGGATGGAGGGAGGGAGGGAGGGAGGGAAAGAAGGCAGGCAAGGCAGGCAGGCAGAAAGAGAAACAGATAGAAAGTCATATATCAGTATCAAAGAGCAGCAGTATTTTGCCAGTGATAGACATCATTTATACAAAGTTTCACTACAATATCTCAAACTGTTCAAAAGTTATGGAAACAACAATTTGACACCAGTGCTTGCAACTTTTGATGCAATGAGACCATGCACATGAATGATACTAAATGGCTTGCAAATGACATTTGTTGCTGCTGTGCATACAGCAATAAGCCAATACACAGAACTCTAATATTGTCCATATTGGGCCACCACATTCATAGAGTAATAGAACCAAAGAATCATAGAGTTGGAAGAGACCTTGTGGGCCATCCAGTCCAACACCCTGCCAAGAAGCAGGAAAATCACATTCAAAGCAACCCCGGCAGATGGCCATCCAGCCTCTGCTTAAAAGTCTCCTAAGAAGGCTGAACTTCAACTGCTTTCCAGAATTCTGTAACTGTGTCAGGAATGTTCTCAAAGAAATTAATATATAAAAGGAAGACCACATTCACAGGAAGAATTAAAGCTTGGTAAAATTAAGTCTTGGTGATCACGGCAACAAGGCATATTTAAAGAAGATCTGTAGGAAAGGAAAGGTTAAGAACCACTGTTCTAGACCATTTTTAAAGGTCATCCACATCAATCCAAGCAAGTGTTTACCAGAGAGTGGATAAATGTAAGATGTATTTTTCTGTCCCAATAACGCCAGTCTAACTTAATAAGATGTGATTTGACAACCAATTACAGAAAAAGAGATTCCACCTAAACGGGGGGGAAAAAAAAACCTTCCTGATGGTGGTGGTGGATATTATTTAGAGCAATGCAGTTTTTCAAAGTATGTAAGTTAACAGATGAAGATAAGTTAAAATCCATACCCATATATTGCTAGGTCTTCTGGACTTGGCTGAAGGAATGTTCTTGGAGCTGCTTTTGGTTGAACAACTGTACAGATTTTTAAAAAACATATACACAAAATCATATAAATAGCTTCTATTTGATGTTGAAACAACTTAAAAGACAGTAGAGACAAAACATAAGCATTAGGGCAGTTCAGGTTACTTCTATTGAACCCTAATCCTAAACCTTTTTATTTAGAAATCTTTCCAATTTATTTCAGGTTTAGATTCAGTAAATATGCCTACAACTGTTTTTTCCACACAGTCAGCATTATAATATTCAATACTAGAAAGTATTTGAACTATGAATGCTATAATTCCATTTCGCATCTGGCTCGTTGGAGTAGCAACCATGTCAGTTTGTTTCAGAAAAAAATAGTATTTCAGTATCTTCATATTTTAAAAGGTCATGAAGGCATACACTTTTACTAATTGCAAAATTTGTTTTTTTATCTGTTTGTTTGTTTTGTTCTGTTAGAAATGTAATACAATGTTCTGGTTGTGGATGACACGATAAATAAATAAATATTTACTAATTAGAGTGCATTTTATCAGATACTGCCCTTCCACTTGATTATCTGGATGTCACACATCTGATCTCAAAGGCGACTCTCCCCATTGCATCAGTATGCATTAGTTATTTCTTAAAAGTCTGATACATCCACTATACATCCTACCACTATTATTTTTTCACATTACAAGTGGGAAGGATTCTTCTTTACTTAATACAATCATGTTGTTCTAGCATCCTCTCTGCTCCCCTGGCTTCCAGTACAGTCACCCTGTGTAAAAATAGATCAGTTTTCTTTGGCTGCCTTCAATCTTTTGAGAAGCTGAAGACGGCCAAACACCACCTTCTTTTCAATGACCACTGGAAAGATAAGCAAATACACTGTCCTGTCTCCAGTCAAGCTTAAAAGAAAGATTCTTACTGCAGGTGGGGCATTTGTATGGTGACCTGAAGCTTTGGTAGTGAGAAGGACAGGTTGCTTACCCGTGATTGTGTTTCTTTGAGTGGTCATCCATCAATTAATGCAACTCTGCCCTTCCTCCCCACTGGGCCATGACACTTTCCTCAGAGAGCACTTCCAGAAAGGCCCTATATCCCAAGATTTTTTTTCATGTCAGGAGCGACTTGAGAAACTGCAAGTCACTTCTGGTGTGAGAGAATTGTCTGTCTGCAAAAATGTTGCCCAGGGGATGTCTGGGTGTTTTTATGTTTTGTCATCCTTGTGGGAGGCTTCTCTCACGTCCCCACATGAGGAGCTGGAGCTGATAGAGGGAGCTCATCCACACTCTCTCTGAATTTGAATTTCCGACCTGTCAGTTTTCAGTCCTGTTGGCACAAGGGTTTAACCCACTGTGCCACTGGGAACTCCAGGATGTGATCCCAGGTTTTCTGTTTAAGGTGGATTATATGAGTCTGCTCTGCCATATAATATGGGATAAACAGAAAACCTGGGACAGATCCTGAGATATAAGACCTGTCTGGAGGGACCCTAAGACTGCAGCTATGGCCATGGAATAGAGGAGCCTGCCAGCAAACGGGCACCTTCACGTCCGGGGGAGAGAGGGCGGGGTTACTGCCAAAATTCAAGCTGCTAAAGCTTTTGAAAATTGTGTTGTCGAAGGCTTTCATGGCCGGAATCAGTGGGTTGTTGTAGGTTTTTCGGGCTGTATGGCCATGTTCTTAGAACCATTCTCTCCTGACGTTTTGCCGGAATCTATGGCAGGCATCCTCAGAGGTTGTGAGGTTTAGAATGCCTGCCATAGATGCAGGCGAAACGTCAGGGTAAAATGGTTCTAGAACATGGCCATACAGCCTGCTCTACTTGGGGTGGACAATTGGTTTTAGGCCTTATTGTGAAAGTACGTGTCAGCATACATTAAAATGACTGACAGATAATCGTTTTTGGCCTGGACTTTCCCATTCTTCCAACCTACAACAACCCTTTTGGAAATTCCTTTACAGTAATGTGCAGATGCAGTATAACCCAGTTTTGTGATTCAAGGAAACCACGAAGAAGAAGCATTTTTTAAACACTTATTCCATTAACCAAGGATCAAGTATTCTAATTATATTAACAGTAGGAGAATTGTTCCTCTTATTGAAACTGAGTGTCTCTCAGAGGAAAGTAACCACTACTGACCTGGAAGATCATCTTGATATTTCACTTCACTCTTTGCCTCTGGAATTAAAGTAGCAGTAATATCACCAGTTGACCTGAAAGGGGTGGGCATGGCTCCCATTCTGGACAGCCTATTGGATGTTTCTTCTTTTGCACTGCAAAAAAGAAAAAGAAAAAGAAAAAAGAAGAAGAACTTAAGGGAAGGTGAAAGATTTAAGAACTCGGCTAACAGTAACATTAACAGCTAACCTACCTTGGCTTTTCCTTTAGCCTTTCATTGGAAGAATGGGAATCCAAATCCGAATGATGCAGTCGTCTGTCATCCTGAGGGGAGCAAGACCGGTTTGACTCTATTTCTGAAATATCTGTTGAAAGAACATTGTATAAAGTCCAGGCCAAAAACAATTATCTGTCAGTCATTTTAATGTATGCTGACACCTATTTTCACAATAAGGCCTAAAACCAATTGTCCATCCCAAGTAGAGCAGGCATGTTGAATGAATGGGATTTATCCAAGTACTAATAATTTGTCATGCAAGAATTGAATTAATGGGTCCACTGCAGTTGGGATGAGCAACCAGATTAAGTCCTAATTATTTTCCCCTCCATCCTTTAATCATTATGACAGCTTTGACAAAAAACAAGAATGCTATCTGACATAGAGTTGATATTGACATCTGCCGCCCATCAAAACATGAGTAGAGAAATATTGCCAGCTCTGGACTTGCGGAAAATTTGTGCCAATGAAGCATGGGATTATTGCTTAATTTACGACAAGGAGATTTACCTTTTTGAACGACAACTCCCCAAATCCAGTGGCTAGGCTGGCTGGGATTTTCAGAATGACCATCCAAAAGCTACAATGTTTCCAAGCTCTGGGAAGGACACCACTCAACACAACTCTTTCAGACCAAAGCATTCCAAGAGAAATGTGATATTAGACAACCAAGTAGTTAATGCTCCAGCCCAATACACCCATTACTTCTGAGTTAAGTGTTTACAGGGCCAAATTTTGTTGATGCAGCAAATATCCAAATAGTCACCCCCTTTTGAGATTGGCTTCTTTGAAATATGACCAGAGAAACAAGATGATGTAGAAACACATGATATAGAAGGAATATGTGTTGGGACCGAAACATATATTGTGACTGTTCTGGCATAGACAAATGTGAGAACATAACTGGGTGGAAAAGGGAGGAGACACAGTTTCTAAATTGTTAAGTCATAGTTTAGGTCAGTGTTTCTCAACTTTCCTAATGCAGGGACCCATTAATACAGTTCCTCATGTTGTGATGACCCTCAACTATAATATTTTTGTTGCTACTTCATAACTGTAATTTTGCTACTGTTGTGAATCATAATGTAAATATCTGATATGTAGGATGTATCTTCATTCACAAATACTGGATACACCCAAAATTGAATACTGGTGGGGTTGGGGTAGGAAATGATTTTGTCATTTGGGAGTTGTAGATTTATAGTTCACTTACAATCAAAGAGAATTCTGAACTCCACCAATTGAATCAAACTTGGCACACAGAACTCCCATGACCAGCAGAAAATACTGGCAGGGTCTGGTGGGCATTGACCTTGAGTTTTGGAGTTATAGTTCACCAACATCCAGAGAGAACTGTGGACTCAAGCAATGATGGATCTGGACCAAACTTGGCACAAATACCCAGTATGCCCAAATGTGAACACTGGTGGAGTTTGGGGAAAATAGACATTGACATTTGGGAGTTGTAGTTGCTGGGATTTATAGTTCACCTACAGTCAAAGAGCATTCTGAACCCCACCAATGATAGAATTGGGCCAAATGTCCCACACAGAATCCCCATGACCAACAGAAAATACAGTGTTTTCAGATGGTCTTTGGTGACCCTCCCAGGGGTCCCAACCCCCCAGGCTGAGAAACACTGGTTTAGGTCATATCCTGCTTTATTTGTTTTACTGACCAACAGCGGGAATTCTGAGGTTTTTTGAAAAGTCATTATATCAAAGAGTGGAGGACAGGGCCAAGGCAGGAGTGCAAAGTATCATTTGTATTCCCTTTTCTCATTTCCAATTCTCATTTCCAGTTTCCAGATGACAGTACTAAGGCCTAGTATTCATTTACAGTTGTACAAACCATGGTTTATGTTACGTCTGATGTTGCCGACTACTTGCCTGAACCATTAATACACCAATTTGAATATAAGCACAGGAAACATGACTTGCAAAGTGACCTTTAAGGGGCAGCCAGCATGTGCTCAGAAATACTCTGTTTGCCAAGCAGCCTATGACTACATAAATCAACAATATAATTAAATTGAATGGGGAAAAGGAAATCTGGTTTGAGAAGCACATTCTGTGACAAATATTTGGTTCATACCGGCTTTGGCTCAAGGAATCAGGAAATCAACGCCACATTTTCCAGCTCAGTTTTCTAAATTTATATTTTTCCATTCTACTTTAAAACAGACTTTATATTGCTCCCTTGACAAAATTATACAGAACACTGACTGGGTAACTTTTCTTTTAATCTCTCACCTTCTATTTCTGAGTCACTGTCATGCATGGAAGGAATGTTGATCAGGGTTTGTTTTCTGTCCCTCAAAACAACCAACTGGAGTTTTCCTCTTGATTTTTCAATCAGTTTTCTAGCATCAGATAGCGACATGTTTTCTGTCACGGTACCATTGATCTGGATGTGTAAGGTAAACATATTTACTGATAAATAGCTTTGAAATGGTTTATCCATGTCAAAAGTTTCCATTTGGCATCTACATTTTCCCAGCCCTGGAAGAAATTGAGGGTCTTTCATGCAAGAACGTACTTTGAGAATGATGTCCCCTTCGTGCAAATTGCCATCTTTTGTTGCCAGTCCAGTACTGGTCATTTCTTTGATGAAAATCTGACTTCCAAGCCGAAGACCATATTCTGCAAATGGAAAATTGATAGGAGATCATGAATTCCATTTTGTTTTCGCTTGAGATCCTTTATCCCTCCCAACTTCCTAAAGACATAATGTTTGCTATAAAACTTGTGATCCACAAAGACAAACATATTCCTTTGGGCAAATATGGCTACCTTCCAAGGAATGAAAAAACTGCATGTTGTCATATACCTGGCAAGTTACCATACTTGGATGGCATGTTAAGTTGGTATGTGAGCCTTAACTAATTCATGATACCTTGTGAGCCCCTAATGCTGCATTGTCTCCAACCTACTTGTAACACCTTCGGCAGACTTGAAAGAAAGCTTAGCAAACCAAATTAAGACAATCAGAATAGCAGAAAAGCTCTCAAAAAATAATGGATAGCTTCTCTTGATTGGTGGCCATCAAATCCCTGTTTGAAAGCCTCTGTTGTCATATTCAGACGAGATCACTGGAAACAGCTTGTACCACCAAAAAAGTCCTTCCTAACAGTTAGTGAATTCCTTCTTCTTTTTTAAAAATTTGGCCCAAGAAGTTTGAATCTTACACTCTGGAACAAGACAAAATAAACTTGCTCATCAAGTTTATTTTGCTTTAATCTCTTCTCCAATTTAAGCACATCTAACAGTCCTTTCTTTTGAGAATGGGTTCTCCAGATCTTTCACAATCCTTGTTGCCACCCATATGTTAGAGGTTCTGAACCACCATTTAAGATTGTTTGAGGAACATGTGTTCCCCTGATGCTGTTTAACTGCAATTCCCATTAGTGCTAGATAGAAAAACCAGTGATGCAGAGTGGCGAGAGTGGTAATTCAACAATATTTGGAGAACCACATTTCCCCTGATTTCAGACATACTTCCTTTCTACTCTTAATTTATTCTGTGGAAATATCACAGGCTATAGAATTCAGCAGGCTGAAGTCAGTACAGTGAGACCTTGATATACTGTGACCAAGTTCGTAACTCAATAAGCTTGTTAACTCAAAACAAATTTTCCCATTGAAATGAATAGGAATCCAATTAATCTGTTTCAGCCCCCCAAAAACCAACACAATTTCCCACTTTAAGAGCTTTAAGAGTTCAGTCAAAGAACGAATTACCATATAATGAACAATATTAATCTCACAATCCCGCCCCCCGGCCCTTTGTTGGAGGTCTCATTGACAAAGCTACCTGTTGGAGGCCAATGTGGAGTCCTCCCTGCGGTGCCCCGCTGAAGGTTGCGAGATGACCCCGCTTAAGATGGTGGGTACTCTCACATTAGCGCTACCTCTTGCGAGAGAGCAAACCCAAGCCTCGCAGAAGGTAGCGCTAGTGCAAGAGGTGGCAGTAGCACAGGGCCTGCATGTGGCCTTCAGCGTGGCATGGAGCCTCCTCCTCCACTGGGTGTGTGGCTTGTAACTCTGATTGCTGCTTGCATCTCAAAGTGAAAAATCGGTTGAGCGATGGATCGTATCTCAAAAAAACTGAATGCTGGATCGCTCGTAAATCAAGGTATCACAGTATTTATTTTAAATTTAGAACAAAATGTTTTAGTCCAGGTGCCTTCAGGTCACATGTACTACTTGAACAGTACCTCAACATTTTTTTCCAAAATGACGGCATACAATGTTCTATAATCCCATCTTTGTCTTTCAATTGCACAGAACCATCTACAACAAGGTGAACTGAACACCTGAAGTAACAGTCTAATAATTCACACTGACCACTTGGTCCAATGACATTAAACTTGAAGCTCCTAAAAGAACACATTCAATTGACCCCCTTATTCTCCACAGAAATGATTGCACATGAGAGTGGTTATGTGAAGCAGGGAAAAGCTATGAGATACGCATACAGGCAAAAAAGTAATGAGCAAAAGGAAACATTCATATTAATCCAGACACTTGCCTTCGTTTGATCTACTTTTGGTGAGGAGAACATTAACTGGCCCATTTGCTTCCTGTGGTGGTCCATACTCGTAGTGCCGGTGCAATTCAGGAGAGGAACCCCGGGAATTAAGCCTGTCTCTGCTCCTGCTTTTTGCTTGTTTCTCATATGGAGGGTCAGGACGAGATTGCCAATTATAATCTCTTGGCAAGCTCCTACCACCATAACCGTGGTCGTACATATCATCACGGTCAACGCTCCTGCCTCTGCTTCGGGGTCTTTGGTATTCACGGTCCATACTTCTCTCTCTATCCATGCTCCGGCCTCGACTCCGATCCCGACTGTAGCCACGCTCCCTGCTGTGGCTGCGTCCCCTATCCCTAGCAGTTCTGTAGCCCTGATCAAGGCTATCTCCCCAGCTCTGGCTGCGGCCTCCGTTTCCACTACGCCAGCTCCTTTCACTGTAGCCACTCTTTGCACTTCTACCATCCAGGTCTGCACGGTCATCCATGACATCAAAGGTTCTATAATCGTAGTCAAGAGAGGGACTCCTTTGAACGGCTGGAAGCTGCACTTTACATGGCCGCTTCACTACCTATTTGTAGAAGACAAGAAAAAATTCAAAATTATATTTTGGTTGGATTGTAATAATAGTTAAAAATCAATTCCTACAAAGTTCAATTCAGGTGCAGAGGATTCGGCCATGTTGGGGTTCGTTGCAGTAGCCCTATACACATGATGCCAACATCAGGCCCTCTGAAACTACATCACGGGCACAGCAGTAGCACCACACACACATGAACCTGTACCTTTCAAGCACAGAAATAGCTCTCCTGTATGGTACTATCATTTCTAAAGAAGATAGGAGATATTTCTTCCTTCTAGCCCTCTCCTTTCCAAATATTACATTTGTTGCCCCTACAAATGGATTTCCATACTTTTGAGGTATTGGTCTCTTCTGTTGCAGATGTTTTGACTTATGATGACCCTTACATGACTATCATTGTTTGTTTGTTTGTTTTTTGCAAGATTTATTCAAGGAGTGGGTGTTCTGAGGATTAGCGAGTACGAGAAGTAAAATCATACTATATAGTGGTTTTGCATAAATGTGTGTGGGGATGTGAATGAAAAGAAACCTAGAAAAAATATTTATCCTGATGAGGGACAAGCAGAAAAGAAGTTCCTGTCCCCGTCATAACTTTACACCCTAATATATACTACTTGTGATCATACTACATTTAATGCTGTTTTATATACAATCATCCTCACTTATTTGACAGGTTAGGGATCACAGCATTGTTTAAAAAATGGTTAAAAAGTGGAACTGCCTTTTTTTTTAGTTTGCAAATGCAAGAGTGAACACAAGATGGCGCTGGGTCAACTGAGGAAAAGACAAATAGCATGTAAAGTAATAATTGAGGGGAAAACAACCAATGTGTCAAATAAAAGAAAGAATAGACCATGCTTCGAAAATATGGTTGAGGGTATAATTTTGAATGGTCAAAAGACTGAAATGACAAAAGCAAGTTATTAAAAAGCAGGAGATTCTTATATAGCTCAAACATCATTTTTCATAGACAAGGGAATCAAAGAATTGGACGAGAACACAAGGGCCACTCAATCCCTTACACTAAATCAGTGCTTCTCAACCTGTGAGTCCCCAGGCGTTTTGGCCTACAACTCCTAGAAATCCCAGCCAGTTTACCAGATGTTAGGATTTCTGGGGGTTGAATGCCAAAAAACCTGGGGAACCACAGGTTGAGAACCACTGCCCTAGAAGGTCCAGGGAAACTTCAAAGTTTGTACAAGTATAAAAACATGGAAAGGGACAATGAGAACCAAGCATTCTGTATGGACATTGACTGCTAACAAGTTAAAAACTGGGGAAATGGTTCAGGACGAAGTGCTTGGAAATGTGAATGTCATACCATCACACAGTTATTGCGGGACTCATGTTTGAAGTTTGATTTCTCTAAAGAGAAATTATGTGTACTTTTAATTCTCTAAGGGGCATTAAAAAGATTCATCAAACCATCTGTCATTCTTCTATGATGTGGAATTACTGTTTGTTGAACATATGAAATTGTCTGACACAAGCCATTGGCTTGTTCATCATGTCACTGCCTGCTCCAGCTGTCAGTAGTTCTCCAGGGATCTTAGAGGCCTTTCCCACTTCTGGATGTTAAACATGTGCTCTCCAACAGAAGTAGAGCCCTTCCTTCTTGCTACTGGGGCATACCTGGAAAACGTATCTATGGCTGCACATATATTCATTCCCATTCTTTATTGCAAGAGTTGAAAATGTTTGGTCCTCTAGGTGCTGCTGGAGTGCATCTTTCACCAGTCTATCATCACCCAGCTGATAAAGTAGGATCATGTGAATTACAGCCCCTCAAAACTGGGAAACAGTGCCGCACATGTGCCTCAGTCCTGCCCTATGGAACTTCTAGTTAGAATATGTAATTCTGGACCATGGGACTTCAAAATTTGCTGCGGGATGGGGAATCAAGAAGTCATGCAAAAACCATGCATCCTCCGTTTGATATTGAACAGATTGCTGGATCCAGATGCTGAACTGAGTACTTCAAATCAAGTACTTACAGGCCAAAAATGCACATTTCTCTTTTGTACCCTCCTGCCCACCTCCATTGGTTCAGAAAACCTAAGTAATAATTAACTTACAATGACAGCCACTTTCCCACTTTTCCTTAACTGTTGCACAGCGAAAGAATGGGGTACATTTTCCATGGGTGTACCGTTAACCATCACCACTCTGTCATTCTCTCTGCAAATGGAAGCATATAGTCAGTTTAAGAAATAATACTACACTCATCACAGATAATAATTTCACTTGTTAAAAATATGACATATGCTCATGTCAATCCTATCCTTGGGCAGTTCAGAAAGTATCCCACCCACCACATAAGAGTTGATTCCACTACCCAATGTGCCTTGTTTGGGGCAATAGGGAGGGAGATCTTGGAAAAGTCAGGAGTTACTAAAACAGCCAGAAGTTTAGGAAATGGGCCCCCACCCATATCCAGTCCTCCAGACTCTACTCTGCCAAGGAACAAGCAGCATTAGAAAATATCTGCTCTGTTACACCTACAAGTAAGTAACCATCCAGGAATATTGGATTACTGCCCTCATCATTTCTGACTAGTGGCCATGCTAGATAAGGGTAATGTGACTTTTATTCCCAAGCTTCTGTGAATTCTGTTATTTGTGGGGGTCATGAAACTAAACCTTGGGATATATCAAGGGCCCACTGTGTTTAGAAGTGTATTTGCCTTCTGCAAACTTATTTTTTTAAGATGGCAAATATTATGCCAGGGAGAAGCACAACATATATACAGTACACATTCAATGCTGGAAGATAAAATAAACATAAACACTAAAAACAATTATCTCCACTTTCAAAAGAATTGTTTAAAACCATCTCAGACCATACTGTTGCCTTATTGCACTGTCCCAAAGGCTTGGTCCCACAGTCAAGTTTTCACCATCTTTCTGAGGGACAGGAGGGAGGGGGCTGATCTAATACAATTTATTGTTTACAAAAAGAACAAATGTTTTGTTTGCAAAATGAGAAGAAAGAGACAAGGTGTGAGTATGAGTGTGTGTCACCTACTGAAGCAATCCATCTGCTGGGCCGCCTGCAAGGACATCTGAAACAACTATGGATGTTTCACCATTTTCAAAATGGGGGTTATCTCTGCCACCAGAGACTGCAATCCCAAACCCTCGCTTGGAGTCCTAAAGGAAAAGAAAAAATGGGGCCACTTATTTTATTTTGGATCCCACCCCAGGATATTAAGCAACAATTTTAAGAAAACAAATAATCAAATCTAAGACTAGTAGAAAGCAAAGCCTCCATCATAGGGCAAAACTGTGTTAGTGTACGAGGTAAAGGTAAAGGTTTTCCCCTGATATTAAGTCCAGTCATGCCCAGCTCTGGACTGTGGTGCTCATCTCCATTTCTAAGCCAAAGAGCCAGTGTTGTCCGTAGATGCCTCCAAGGTCATGTGGCCGGCATGACTGTATGGAGTGCCGTTACCTTCCCAACAGAGCGGTACCTATTGATCTACTCACATTTGCATGTTTTCAAATTGCTAGATTGGCAGAAGCTGGGCCTAACAGCGGGGGCTCACGCAACTCCCCAGATTCGAACCTGTGACCTTCCGGTTAGCAAGTTCAGCAGCTCAGTGGTTTAACTCACTGTGTCACCAGGGGCTCTGGTATACTACTAGCACTCAATTACACCAGTGGAACTAGACAGTGGAAACAGGAGGAAAAAGACTTTGGGAACACTGACTGCAAAGGAAGTATTGCATTTAAGAAATAGGCTCCTTGCACTTGTTGTCTATCTTCCCTTGTCCCACTGGGCAAGAGGTATCAGTCCACAGTTCAACTCTTGCCTCTGGTATAAATTCACGCAGCAACCTTACTCTTAGATCCAGTTCTCCACCCCTGTGTGAAACAGGACAGAAAAAAATACTGACTTCTGCAGAAAGCTTACATTGATAAAATATTTTGAACACTTGAAAGCACTATATTCATCCTAAATAACCCCTGTTCCGGCAGGACTGAAGACTGACAGGTCGCAGGTTTGAATCCAGGGAGAGCACAGATGAGGTCTCTATCAGCTCCAGCTCCTCATGCAGGGACATGAAAGAAGCCCCCCACAAGGATAAAACATCAAAACACCAGGGCGTCCCCTGGGCAACGTCCCTGAAGACGGCCAATTGTCTCATACCAGAAGCAACTTGCAGTTTCTCAAGTTGCTCCTGACACGACAAAAAAAATCCTACATAACATATATATTATAGTATTGGGGATTATACACAGGAGTAGAGTCTTATAAAGGCATAATGTGTAAGTATTTCATAAATGAAAACAATAATTTTGTAGTTACTAAATAACTGAGGACACTAAAATTTGCAACAAAATGTAACCTCTTAAATGCATACATAATGTCCATATGTGAGAGCATCACAGAAGAATTTAATATAACACCATCAACAGCAGAGAATCAGAGATAATGTCAAAATGTTTGAAAAATGCCCAGTTTTGGTTAGATACACCAATTAAAAGGCCTGAAAATGTTTTGTGATGGAAAATGGATTGCTCTAAGAACAGGGTCATGTTGGGTTTGTCAATACGATATCAACTCATGCATGCATGCAAAAAAAAAAAGCCGTTAGAAAACAAGTACTTACCTTTTGTAAGGTCACTGTGTACTGCTCCCATATCAACTCTTCCATGCCTGGGGCCTGTTACACAATGAAAAGCCATAGTCAATACAACATCAGAAAGAAATCTTAGAATTCTCTTCTCCCCCAAATTGTATCAAATATCAATAATTGTCTACATAAATTTTACATTACAATGTCTTTTTTTAACATTACTTTTAACTTGCAACATGATGAATTAAAACTAAAAGTAAAATGTAACGGAAAAACATGTAGACCATGGTTATCTCACACTCAAAAGTATTGTGCCAGTCATACACAGAGTGTTTCAAAATAATAGAACCATTTCAAAGCAGTATGTTTCCACAAACTGTTAATGATGTATTTTGCTGGAGAACAAGAGCAGGTTTTCAAATACATGTTTTGGATGTATTGGATATTAACTGCTGATAAGTGAGTGAAACCAAATCTATACCAAAAATGGGAACAAATATTTTATTCTTCCTTGCGCCAATATCTGAAATTCTCTATTGAACCAGAGCTCAACCAAGGTGGGGGAAAAGGCCAGATAATTCAATCAAACAAGAGATTTGGGTGAATAACAACATCCAATATCACATATTCATCAGTTTAACAAAACTCCAATATCAAAAATAATTAATACATTTTCCACTTGCACATATTTTTATATTTGGTCTTCTGCAAAGGCTGGGTTTTGTGAGTTTTAAGCCTGAAGCACTGCTAAGTCGAATAAAAATGCAAAGGAATCAGAACTTAATGAAAAACTGTTAATGGGCTGACTTTATGATCATGGCGGGAAAGTCCTCTTTTTGGGACTCTGAAGAAACAGCTCAGAGTCATAACAGATATGACTACAATAGATCTTATGGCTGTTTCCACCCAAGGGCTTTCAAAGTATCTTGCATAATACTAACAACAAAACTAATAAAACTCTAACACTCTATGAACTCTAACACAAGATTAAAATTGGAATAAAAGAAGAAGAATGTGAAAACCACCACAAAGGATGCTTCCAAATAAGACCTTTTTGTGCCGTCATCCTGCCTTATTAACAGAATTTTACTGGGATATAGGTATCTTTCTATTTCTTCCTGATACCTCTGCTGCCCTTTCTCTTACTGCAGAAGTGAGACTGAAGAGGGAAAGTCAGAAAAAAACGCACAACACCATTTTGTAAGTAGAACAAGAAACCCTATCCTGAAACAATCTTAGGATAAGACAACATTCAAGATCTTTCATTCAGTGCCAAAGGCCTGAAGATACAAAACACAGTAGCCCAGCAAAATATCTGTAGTTTGAGCAGTTCTGTATTTGTACAGAAAGGAATGCCTTTCATATTGTAATGAGACATATGCAATACATACATATGCAAAGTAACTCTTGGTCTACAACATGGTAGTATTCTTAAAATCTTAGATTGAGAAGAGACACGACATTCCAATCTATCCATTCGACTATGCAGAAATATACCATCACACTACACCACATCCAGCCTCTGTTTAAAATCCTCCAAAGATGGAAACTCCACCACTCCAAGGCAGCACATTCCACTGAACAGCTTGTGCCATCAGGAAGTTATTCCTAATGTTTAGGTGGAATCTCTTTACCTGTAGTTTGAATCCACTGCTGTATATCTTAGTCTACACAGCAGCAGAGAACAAGCCTGCTCCATGCTCAACATGACATCCCTTCAAAGTAACCTCAACAACTGATGATGTAATTGTGCCACCTCTGAATCCACTCATCAAATCCATTTTGAAAAATCTTTTACAGGTACTCTCTGATCTGGTGTTTGACTGTGTCTTCCACTTCGCCTACATCACTGAAGCACTGTCCATGAAGACTTCACTTCCTCTAACCAAACAAGTGAACTTCTGAGGGCGTCAGATCAGGACTATGGGGATGGAGCTTCAATGATGTTAAGTGGAGGATGCAATCATAGAGTGAACTGAGGTGTATAGGAAATAGTTTCTTATTTGTTTGCTTGTTTGCTTAATTTCTATCCTGCCTTTCTCGACCCCAGAGGGGTTTTTCCAAAGTGAATTTGATGAATAGGTTCAAAGGTGCCTCTGGTGGAAACTAGTACCATGTTACAAACAAAGAGTTACTTTGCACATATATGTAGTTGCATACATCTTATCCTATTGATAAGGAGTTATGACCTGACACACATTACATTCAGTATGAGCCTCAACTTTTATTTATAGGCGTTATATCCTTCCTTTTTCCCAGAACAGGATTCACAAAGTGATGGTCAAGGTATCAACTCCTGGCATATTGGGTAAAATAATTGCCAGCGCCCCACATCAGATAACTTGGGAGGCACTGGAACAAAGGACTAACAAAAACCCTAGACAGGGTATATACTACAGTATATGGTATATTAAATTCTATTTATCTGTTATTTAAATGTATATATTGTTTTTATGGAGACACAGTGTCAAAGATGCAGCTAAGATAATAGATAAATATGTAAGACAGTGGTCTAAAAACTAGAGCCGAAAAAAACCAGATTTACTGTTATAGAACAGTAAAACAGCCAATTTTAAACACACCAAGCAGAATATAAATTATTCTCTAGAGGCCAAAACACTTATATACATTTTTCAAAAGTATTAACCTGTTGAGAAGGACACACCACAAAAGGGGTCACACAGACTATCTTCACAAGAGAATTTCAAAGTATGAGATCAGCCACTCACTCAGTCCCTCACCAACTGTGCATTGTGGGTCATAAAGATATGAAAACTTGGGGAAGTACATCTGGGAGATGGTAGTTGTTTAGAAAAACCTGTCCCATGTAATTTGTTGTTGACAGTTAGGTATATGTTGTATATTTATTTAAGATCTTCATATTCTTCTCAAATGCTCTTTAAAATGTTTTATATAAACAAAAGAAATGAAACAATAATAAAAATTTTGCAAACAAAACAAATGATTCAAAAGAGTATCAAACACTAAAATATTAAAATGCTAAGAATAGTTAAATAGTTAAAATGAAACAAAAAAAATCAAAAATGGAAAGCCCATTTGAAGTTGAAGGCCTGAAAAATGCCACAAAAGCTGTGCTTTCCAAACATTTCATGTTGGTGACACACTTTTTAAACATGCATCATTTTGTGACACAGTAATTCTGTTTTGCTAGTGAACCAGAGGTTAAACCAACCCTTTATAAGATATACGGACACCTTCACTTCACTTTCACTTTATTTCTTTCACCTACATAAATTGTAAGAGCCAAATGCATGCAGACACAATGTATTCCATGAAAACCTTTAATTTACATTTGAAAAAATCTGCTATTTGTATGATAACATACATTTCCAAGATATGTTCACGTGGCATACCTACACACTGCAATCGACACATTAACATATTGTGACACATAGTTTGAAAAGTTCTGTGCTAAAGGATAAGATACAGCATTGTAAACAAGGCCCAGAAACTCAAGGAAAACTTGTGCAAACTGGGTCAATCTGCTGTAATAACCAGTCCTAGATTCTGCACAGTTGCAGCCTATATTATAATATCTGAAGTTCTCAAGCTGTCTTCAAGGATAGCCTCATACATAAAGCTTTGCAATAATCCAGGTTGGGGGGAAGAGGTTTCCATGGCATGAATGTCCATAGAAAGGACATCTTTGCTTAGGTAGGATCATAGCAGTTATATCAATTAAAGCTGAAACTTTGAGTCTCAAATGACAGAGCCAGATCCAAGAATACCCACAAGACTCCTCCTAAGAACATAAAAGAATAAATTACTGTTGCTGCTAAAGTAAGTTGTTGTTGTTGTTGTTGTTGTTGTGTGCCTTCGAGTAATTTCTGACTTAAGACAACCCTAAGGTGAAGCTATCACAGGATTTTATGTGAAGATCACCCAGTGTGTTTACATGGCCAAGCAGGAATTTCACCTTGGTCTCCAGCATCATGAACCACTACAGCAGTGGTTCCCAACTTGTGGGCCCCCAGATGTTTTGGCCTTCAACTCCCAGAAATCCTAACAGCTGGTAAACTGGCTGGGATTTCTGGGAGTTGTAGGCCAAAACACCTGGGGACCCACAGGTTGAGAAGCACTGCACTACAGGCAATTTAATGGCAAACATGAAGGGCTACTTTGAATCAACAGGAACTTTTTACAAGCATATTCAGTGCCATCAGAGAAGATGTAGACTCACTACTTTAAATAAGCCCTAAGTTGTGTAGTCTGTTAAATCATAAGCTCAGTTAAGTAATGTTTTGCTTTATATTCACACTATTTTTCAAACTGGTCTCGACCTCGTTTAATCCCGCCCTTGCCTTTATTGCACAAGAAATGCCAAGAGATTTCTACTCACAGTAATTGGAAAATTTGAAGAGTGTCACTTGATTAATACAAATGCATAAAAATAGTTTCATTTTCTGAGTAAGCTACAAATTGTTTCACTATTTGTGAAGATAGCAGAGCAACTTGTGCCACAGAAGATGGCAGGGAATATAAATATTTCTTGGGAGGTTTCTGCAAAGAGAAAATAAAACTGTCTCTGAATTTTTCATCCTGGAGTAATCGGAAGCTAAGAGGAACCAGCTCCTGAGGTTATATTTTGCAGGGCAGGGAAGTCAGCCCTGACAAAGTACTGGAAGTTCACCTTGGGAGTTCACTAGGCACAAAAGCCATCTGTGCTGTTCTAAATCTCTAACTCATAATCTCTTTAACATTATAAAATTTACAGCTGTTTGCCACTGCAGAGATACTAACCAATGCTGACAGATTAATGGAAGAAGCAAAATAACCGTGGGGGGCTGGGTAAGACCACAGATGTTATAAGTCACCATCTGAAGACTTCCGACTGTACAAGAGAGGAGATTAAATGGTCTGCCCTAACAAGCATGAATTTCCCAACTATATTCACAACCAATAAACGTAGGCCAGATAATGAGAAGCCAAGAAATGAGCCAAGTACCACCCATTCGCGAGAAATGTATTAATGCAACATTTTGGGAAGGTACAAAACTATAACATAAGCACATTATGCACTGCCACAGCATTAAACTGGTAAAGGAATAAGACATTTAGCAAATTCT